TTGAGTTGCTCTGACAGTGTGGGTCGCAACGATGCTTTTGGCTATTTTCTTGTGATGGGAAGCATCCTCAGAGTTAGTGGACACAATTCTTCTTGCAATGCCTACCCGAGCGCCGCCAGTTCGAATCACACCATGTCAGATTGACACATCGTGGCAGGGCCTGAAAGCTGCCATGGTACTGGACCCAGCACCTTCGCGCGGAGGCTCAACATACTCCAGCAATCCCAGCCACTGCCATCACCGAACGAAAAGAAAAGTACCCCGACTTCTTCGGCTAGCAGGACAAAGTGGTCACAGTTTGGAGTGGGTCCCGTTTAGGGTTGTGGTGGCTTTGGGGCTTGGCTTGGGGCAGTGTAAAGTTTGGTTTTCAGGATTGCACATACAGGGTTGCGGGTTGGTTTGGGTTGTTTGAGGGCTGACAGGGTTGCCTCAGGGAAAATATAGTCTTGGTTTTTCGGCCGGTGTGCCAAAGAGTTGCTTCCCGTCATTTCACACTGCTTGCCACTTCCCACAATTTTGCTTCGACCTCTGAAGTACCTCACCCCCTCAACCCCCCAACCATCCACTACCCTCCCACCAACTAACATGGAAGTGCACAGACCCCTTTCCAAGAGGAAAGCAGCCTTTCTGGCACTTCCATGTTAGTTGGTGGGGGGGGTACCCCCACAAGCTTCCCTTGTTAAGGCTGCAGGGCCGCAGGCTTCACCTCGATGCAGACAGCGGGGCGGGGCCCGGACGCCCAGGAACGGTCTTGTCGGGTGGAAGCTGGTTGGACCCCTGGCGGATTCTGGTGGATGGTTTTCAAAAGACCCTCAAAAGAAACCAGCTTGGGTCTACACGGGTTGGACAGGCGCTTTGCTTTCCCGTAATTTGGTGATATGCATTGGTTGTTTCTTACGCCGTGGATGTCTTTTGACTGGTGTTTGGACTAGAGCCTTGGGAAAATGGGGTGACCAAAGCTTTGTCCAGTCCACTTCAGCACCCCAGGTGTTTATTTTCCTCATTGAGCGGGACTTCAGTTTCCAAGCGCTACAGGCGCTGTGTTGAACAAGCAATCTACGCCCAATCTGGCACAGCAATATGGCAAGTACTCCTAGGGCGAATTTGTAGACTTGGCAAAAGCGAGAGGTTAGCTCCAAGCAAACATCTCTTTCAGAATTGTCGAGGTTGAGTCCACCCGAGCAGCTGGTGAGCAACATACATTTCAAGCCCACATCATTTTTGCCAAGGGGCTAATTACTTTTCATTGGGTAGAAAGGCAAGCCACATGAGAAGTCTTCGTTGAGAAGGGGCCTTATTTAGATATTCCTAAATGCCCAGTTGGACCCACAGGGTCTCGAGCAACTATAGGTCAGCTTGCGCAAGCCATCAATTGGAGCATGCCACTCGCTGGGTTATAAGTTGTCACCTGCGTCCTTGCCAGCCCGCGTTGCAAGGGCCAAGAGACGCCTTAAGTTTACTCAGCTGGATAGATACCGTTTGAACATCTTACCTCATCGATTCATCGCATCACAGCGTTGTTTGGGAACCCCTCAAAGGGGTGGGTTTTTGTTGGCTTCCCTTCGATCAAAAAGGGGTGCCCCAAAAAAGAGACCCAGCATGGCTCACTCCAAGTCTGAGATGCGGAGCTGATCTGACACCCAGGCCCAAGGCTGGCTTCCACCGCCGCCCGGATGTGCAGCCGCCACGAGTTTGAGTGGCGCCTGTGCCTGGACATACAAAAGGCCTTGCTCCCAGTCTGGGCATCAAGCAATGTGAACAGCGTGAAGCAGTTGTAGGAATCCGGGGTGTGTTGTAAGCTCGTGCCCCTGCAAATGACCAGCTGTTGCCCGTCTTTCACTGTACGAACCATTGCTGCGTGACCAAATGCGGTAGATTTTGCCTACCGCAACGTAGCAGGGAAGGCCGATGAATCGGGTGTCATCCGCTGAATTTGTTGTTCTTTGGAATGCGCTCTTGCATGTGTTGCACAATGTCGGTTTGTTCATCTGGAAAGAGACATGATTCGGCAGTCGGCAGTAGCCTTCGCCAGGCTTTCGAGTCGAAGTTTGGATTGAGCGGCAAGGAGCAGGCTGGTCAGTTTGGGGAAAAGGAATCAAAGGGCGCTTTCCCCATCAAGGTCCCTTCAAAGAAATCGCGGGGGACTGCCAACCTGAGGCTGGTTATATTGGACTCCAGTCGTACTTTCAGACGGGGGGGACAAACCCTGATTGGCCAGTGGTTCTTGGCGGATTTGTTCATGCCTTGCTGGCGTCTTGCGTAGGCCAAGAAGAAGCCCGGCTCTGAGATTTGGAGAGGGTAAGGGCTGCAGGGTATGACCAAGTCATACGGAGAACGGGGCTCATGGAGACTGGGCTTAGGCCTTAAAAAGTATTGTCGACATAGCTAGACTTTGTTGTGGCTGGAGGCTATGCCTAGGTCTTCCCTGGGCACTTTTTTCTGTACTTCCCGCTTCGAGCAAAACGTATGCTGCTCATTTCGCTCAAAAACGCAAAAGAAGAGAAAGCACGCTCGATTGGACAATTGCTCCAGTGTGTGTCTGCAAATGTCCACTCATTTCCCTCTGATGTCCGCTCATTTCCCGCCGATTTCCGCTCATTTCATGTTTTTTCCGCTCAAAATCTGAAACGAGCGACAAACAAATGCCAGGAGCCTAAAAAGTGACCAAATGGAAGACATAGGTATTTCGCGCCTGGCGCTAAATACTTCCAAAATCGCACTTCCGTGGCATAAGTTCCAATGTGTTCGCTGGTCTTCCAAAGGCGGTCTAAAGCGTGGTCGAGCTGGCTCAACCATAGATTGCTTGAAGGCTGTATTTTGTGGGTTTGCAATATTCTACCTGGAAGCTTATATGCCGATCATTTGTTCTGGCCAACTGGCTAAAGCTCGCCAATGCTCAAAATTGCAAGTTGGATGCCTGAAGTAGACAGCATCGCTGTGCACATACGAGCAACAATTTGCTTCGGCGAGACCTTACAGCGGAAGAGGTAACATGACTTGAGCCCCGCAGCAATGTATGAAAGGAGCGTCACGCGCGCGGGAAGTTGATCAGTAGCGAGCCCGGCACAAGCACAACATTCGAGCCCGGTCAAGGTATCGCATGGTATCCTAGATGGTCCATGCTTTGTTTAGCCTTTCCACGGCCTTTTTGTAGCCTTTCAAAGACCTTTCTATGGTCTTTCCAAGGGAGTGTCCACGGTTTGGGCACGGTCAGTTTTTTTCTTTTTTTCTCCAGAGTATTCATTTCATGTTGAAGTTAGGGATGTGGACTGTCGATATTTTGAGCTAGCTGCTGAACAGATGTCGCATAATTTGTGCTCAGACCTTTGCCAAAAACGCAGACAAATGTGGCAGTGCGCCGCATGGTCAGGAAATTGCGTACTGTCATATATATATATATATATACACAATTAGTGTATATATATATATATGCATAACATTCAATTTGTCATAGCCACAGGTCTTAGAAAGTATGGTTTTCTATGCGAAATCACCTGATCAGTGAGCTGCGAAAACTGTATGCAAGAGTCCCAAGTCCGCTGGTTTCCTTTTTATGGTCGAGGGACCCTACTTCTTTCCTCAGCCTTTGTCATATGTCTTGCTCTAGACCGCGTAGCATTTGGTCGAGGAAGGCCAGGGCTGATATTTTGGTACGCAAGGAAACTAGGTCAAAATAAGCGACCATGACATTGGAGCAAAGCACGGTCTCCACATGCAGTCCGATGAGAGAGAGAGAGAGAAAAAGGAGAGAGAGAGAGAGAGAGAGAGAGAGAGAGAGAGAGAAAAAGGAGAGAGAGAGAGAGAGAGAGAGAGAGAGAGAGAGAGAGAGAGAGAGAGAGGGAGGGAGAGGGGAAATCGAATCGCAACACTGCGGCAGGCCTTCCCTCTTCTGACGCAGCAAGCGCTTGCGCGTGCAAGAGGAGAGAAAGGACCATGCTGACTGAATATACGGCAAGGCCCTTTGTGAAACATGCGAAATTTTGCACGAGCTTGCAGATTTGGCTATCCCCTGAAGCCGCTTCAACCAAGGGTTCCCTTTGAGTATGTCAACAATCGCTGGGATTAACTGTATTTTGTCGGTGGCAAGAAGCAGAACCCTGGTCGTTCATTTGCAAGCAAATGTGACGTGTGCGGTGCTCTTTGACTCCAGTGTCTTGTATTGCCCTCCCAGAAGATGGCATGCTGTCCTCACATGCCAGGTGTGAGTCTGACCTCAACGGTGCGTGCCAAATGGACAGGCTACGTAACCCGCCATACTGATATCTTACCAATATCATCTTGCAATATCTTGGGCCTGGGGTTTGCTAAAGCGTCCACATGGGAACTGGAGTTGGAGGAACCGCCCAGATGTGTTTGAAATGCGAATCATTGTAATGGATTTGCACTTGATTCGAAGGTCTGTCAGACTCGCATCGTGCCGATAGGCAAACGCCAGAAATGGGAATAGCAAGTTTGGCCATACGAAATTCAGAATTAGCAATGCTAGATAAAGCACGGGATTTCTGAGAGAAAGTCTCCACAATACCAATTTCAGAGTTGGAAATACTACATTATATAAGTACGGGCACGTCCAAGTCCAACCCAGAGATCCCCTCTTTTTCCGCTGAAGAGGGCCCCTGATGACCGTTGGCGCTGTCCAGGTGGGGGGGGGTGTCATGTTAAAGCGGTCCAACACTATATGTGGTCAGAATTGCACCTTGAGGGGTGGAACAGTCCTCAACACATGCTGCGAGCTTCCTGCTGCGTTGGGTGATTCATGCTCAAGCTGTGCGCCTTCAATATCCTGACCTGATTGTGTCACCTCGTCCAGCAAAGCCAGGCATTTTTTGCTTTGTGTGTGTGTGTGTGTGACTTGAGGCATAGAAATGCGTGGAACACATGAGCAGCTGGACAAAAGATGAACATGGGCTTGCGTGCATATCTCTAGCTTTTTCAGAAACGAGCATCATTCTTACAGAAGGACAGGAAAGGTATGTGTCCATGGTTGCAAACCAAGTCTTGCATGACACCTTGTCTTGAACATGAAATGCTGCTATGCCCATGTGTCTTTCCTGGTGGCGCCCTCTGGGCATACGGTTTCAGGGCGTGGGCCCTGGGCTGCACAAGCTGGGGCTGGCGAAGGCCCTCGCAGCGCGATCATTGCCACCATCGCGGGCTTGCAGCTGGTGCGTTTCACGTCGGCTGCGCGGTGCAAGCTCGTGGGTCGCAGCGCCCGCAGGGATCTGGCTGGCGATGCCGGAGGGTCCACTCCGGCCAACTGGCCCAAGCGTAAACGGCCTTTTGGGCAGCGGTCTCAGGTGCAGCAGATCGACCAGGAGTTTAGAGCAAGGCGGCCACCTAAGGTGGAGCAATCTCGCCCGGCTTTCAAGGCAAACAGGCGGTCACCTGAGGTGAAGCAGTCAGGCCCGAAAGTCGTCGGCGCAAATCGGCAGTCGTCACCCGAGAAGGAGCGGGATCAGTTCCTGGACATGCAAGCAAAGATACCGGTGGAGGTAAGCCCCCGTCCTGACATCGATGAGCTCGGAGAGTCATGGGCCAGTGCTAAGCTGAGTTCGCAGCTTGCCTCGGCCTTGCACCAGCAAGGTCTCCAGCGGCCAACAGCGTCGCAGCGGTGGGCAGTGCCCCTACTACTTGCAGGCAAGGACCTGATGGTATGCTCCCAAACGGGCTCTGGAAAGACAGTGGCATACCTCCTGCCACTGCTGGAATCCCTCCTGCGCAAGCCAAACCTACCTGGAAAGGGCGGCCGGTTTTTGGCGAGCCCCGGAGCAGTTGTGATCGCTCCCACCAGAGAGCTGGCTGCCCAGATTGCAAGCGAGGCGGCATGGCTGATCAGAGGCACCCAGCTGTCTGTTGCCTGCGTCTTTGGTGGTGTGCCATACCAGACGAGCAAGACTGATCTGCGAGGGGGAGCCGATTTGCTTGTTGCCACGCCCGGGCGCTTGGAGGATGTGTGCCAACGCGGACATGCCACTCTGCAGCAAGTCCGTTTGGTGGTGCTTGACGAGGCCGACCGTCTGCTGGATCTCGGCTTCGAGGATCAGATTCGGCTGCTGCTGACAAGGCGCATGCCGAAAGCTGAAAGCAGGCAGACGGCCATGTTCAGTGCCACCTTTGGCACAGGGGTGCAGCATTTGGCGGCCGATTTTCTGGACGCCTATACTTTTGTGGCCGTCGGGCGCGTAGGCAGCACAGCCAAGACGGTGGAGCAACGCTTGGTGTGGTCAGAGGATGCCAACAAGCCGCAAGCGCTGCTTGGCACTTTGCTGGCTTTGGATGCTCAGGGATCTGGCAGTGCTATTGTGTTTGTAAACACTAAGGATGCAGCCAGGATGGTAGAAGACAAAGTCAGGGCTTGGAAGTTCCGATGCTTCTCCATCCATGGCGACAAGAAGCAGGAGGCGCGCGAGAAGGCCCTGCAACTCTTCCGGACCCACGTGGAGGGAACCTCCAAGTCCCTTACCGTGCTGGTTGCCACTGACGTGGCTGCCAGAGGTTTCTGGGTCAGCGGTTGGTCACATTTTTCATCTTGCCTTGCCAATGAAGGGGCAGATTCAAGTCCTAGATTAGGAGGGGATCTCTATATATAGGATCCTATCAGGCGATGTGCTTCAACAGCCATCCAGCTCACCAGTGCTTGGCGGACACGACTCATAGCTCGCTAGATGACGTCCACCAAAGGATCCCCTAGTAAATTTCACCCTTTTTGTCTTTCTTGTGTATATCAAACCTCAGGTTTGGACATTCCCAACATCTCCTGCGTAGTGCACTACGACCTGCCGCGCCGCATCGACGACTACGTGCACCGCACCGGGCGCACAGGCCGCGTGGGCCGCAGCGGCGTGGCGGTGGGCTTCGCCAACCTTGGCGCCAAGGCCGTGAGCGGCGACCTGGTGAGGCGGGGGGTTCCTTTAGACGACTCAAAGTAACCACCATGGGTTTTGACCGCCTCGTGGTCGCACCGGTGGTTGCAAAGAAAGACCTTGAAAGTGGTTGTTTGTCTCTTATTATGTGTTTTTGTGTTTTGTTTTAACACTACGGATGTCGTTTTCCACAGGCCCAAACAGGGTTGAAACAACCCCTGGACCCCTGGCAGACCATGGGAAACCAACATGAGCTTGAAACAGTAGTGTTTTTTACTGGGCCCCTTAAAGTAATCTGCTGTTAAGGGTTGATGAAATTGCTTTTGAGGCTTCCCTCCAAAGCCTGAGGGGAATTTTGCCTACAATCCCTACTTGCAGGGAAGCTGCTGGAAGTTGCCCACGTCCTTTTCCCCTGACCTGCCAGCTTTCATTTTATGAGCAAAGTCTATCCCAAAGTCATCCAAAGTCCAAAGTCCCACAGCATCCACTTCATGAACAGCATTTGTCTGCCCCAGAGTCCAAAGACAACCAAAGACCACCGATGTGCGGATGGGTGTCCTACTCGGGGCGACGGGGACCTTCGGACCTTCGGACCTTCGGGCCTTCGGGCATTCGGACCTTCGGGCCTGATGTGAGGTGCCTGGCAGAGGCGGGGGGAGAGGTGCCATCGTGGCTCATGGGCATGGCCATCTCCACCGGGGAGGCCTTCGAAGACCTCCGGCAGGCCTTAGATGGGGAAAGGGGGGGAGGTATGATGGGCACTGGGTGTCTATGCGTCAACATCTCCCTTTGGGCTCTCGGTGTGTCAATGGGTTCCACCCGGTTTTGGGTTGGCGGGCTTCTTGTTCAGAGGGCCCCCTTTTTGAAGGTTGGTGTATGGTGTAATCACACGGATTCACTTGTTGCTTGTTTGTTTCAGGAGAAGAGAGATTGAAGTTAGGAAATCCACAACCATCAGCCAGACCGGTACTCCCCGAGGCGGTGAGCAACGGCAGCCAGAAGTATGGGGCCCAGGACGTCCGCCTTGAAGGAGCCGGGGTTCAGACCGCAGAGGAGCGTCGAGAGGCGCAGAAGCTGCGGAGCTTTGCGGCAGATGCGTATGAGTCCGATGAAAAAGCCTTTGGAAGTGACATGCCGACGTTCCAACCGAGCCCCCAGAATCCAGAAGTAAAGCTGCTGTTTCATAGGGGCGACGGCAATGCCATCCCTGACTTTGGCGATAATGCGTAAGATCAGACTTTATTTGATTAACCGACTTTCTCATGAGCCTTTAAACTTGGCAAGCAGACATTTCCGCAAAGAGCACGGTTCATAAGGACATGGTCACCAGGTTCACTGCACGTCGCAAGTCTCTTGCCCGTGTCGGCTCGAGATAAAGGAAAGCCTACGACATGGTGCAACGTGACATCCTCTACAAAGGCACCAAAAGGCAACGCAACTTAGATATTGGGTCTGTGAGAAGAGTTGGCCCGCTTCTGAAGTTTAAGCGTATCATCTGCGGAGACCACAATTGTAGCCCACGTTTACTTGGTTGCCGCACAGGAATCCTGGCACTCACTTGATTGACTCCTTTGGAGTCGCACAGGCATGCCCGCCAGTTGTTCGACACCTACGGATGCGTTTTCGGGGTTGTAGTCTCGTGACTGACTGCCTGCCGCCTGCTGCGCCATGGGTGGCCTGTCGCTGAACTCAGCAAGTTGCGCGATGGCATGGGGTGATTTGCGGTTCAACCAGGCAGCTGGTGAAACTGCACTGCCCTGGACATGACCTTTGCTCGCTTTTGACTTAGGCCAGAGAGCATGTGCTACACCTCCGTGGAGAAGAAAGAGCCGGTCCTAGGCGTCTTGGCTTATAGCGCAGAGAGCAGGTAGAATGGGCATGAATGGCACGAGAGTTCTGCTTAAGGGTACATTCACGAAGCTTGTTTCACGTTTTGGGCCGAGTTGAAAGGCAGGTCGGGAGGCAAGGCCCCGTGGCTATTACAGGCTTCTACCCGAGGAGAGCGATCCCATTCCATGTTTTGAAGCGAGGCTGGTTTGGAGAGCACGCAAAGCTCGAGAAGGCGCCAGCCTTTGATGCACTTGTTGGATTTGCATTGCTTCTGCCAGTCCTGAGTGCTCTCTGAAGGTCTCCCGGTTCCATGATCCGTGCACGCAGTTCCTCCCTTGTGAGGAAACTCACGAACTGCGAGCCGAAGGTGCAGATGAGAGAAAGGAGAGGGCTCAGTTGCAAAGTGGGGCAAACGCACAACACACAGATGGCAGATGTCACAAATCCGGGAGAATTTATTGAATCTCTAGAGCAACCCGCGCGCAGACGTGCCTTCAGCCTTCAGTCCGATGTACTGCGGGGTAATGTATTTGGGTGTGGCAAGCATACCCTCTGGCACGTAGGCAACCAACCGAACTAGCACAACTGCAACGTCATGGGAAATGCAATGAAGATCCAGCCCCAATCATCAATCTGTGGAGAGTCGGGACGACTCCCACACTGCGAGCAGCACAACGTGATACTCAACCACTAGAGCCTCTCATGCAGAGGGGTTTTGAAATGCGCTGGTATCAATGTTGTTCCTGATGCGCTTGTGTTGGATATGTCCGTTTCCCCGCCAAATGGCAAACACTACCAAGCAAAATCAAACAAGAACAATAGTATGCCGTAGTACTGGTACTCATGTGCATCAGATGGGTGTGTGTGTGATGTTGTACATTTACTCATGTTTTATTCTCTGCACTTGTACTTTCCAATGCCAACAACCATCATTGGACCTGTCAAATATTTTTCCCCATGGCACCCTTGTACAGCCTCGGAGTTTGCCTGTCACACACTTCCAACTCCAATCGAATGACATGCGCAACGGCTCTACCGTCGTGCATGTTGCAGCCATGGACCCTGAGCGAATGTTAGGAATGCTCAGCAAGTGACACATTATTTATTTTCTTCGTGGTCTCTGCAGTGACATAGACACCAACACGAGCCCAGGTTCACCGATCTACTTGCAACATGTGCGCCAAAGTCAGAAGTTCTGTTTACTTAAGTCCCTTAAGTCCATTGAGGTCAGTAAGTAGGTCTTGTACAGCCTGAGGAGGACAGCCCCGAGTTAACGGCGGCGCGGCAGCGCCGGCAACGGGTCCTGGCGGCTTTGAAGAAGCCCAGCACGGACCGTTTTTCCCGGCGGGGGCAGGAGGGAAATTCGGAGGGTCAAAACGGGGTCTTAAAATCGGGGACCCCCAAAAATGGTGCTTTCATTTGGTTTTCCCGCACAACCAACCTGCATGTGGGCAACCCTGGCATGGCATGACACGCCCCGTAGCCATGCTGATTTGTCTCGCAGGACCAGTTGCGGCGCCGTTTTACTCAGTTGCTTGGCCGCAAAATGACATTGTGTTTCGCGTAGCCATGAGTCCCCCATGTAGAACATGTCCTGCCCATGCGTGCGATCTGACGCGCAGGTTCGATGTGAATTCCGACGGCAAGTTGGACCGAAGCGAGGTGAAGCTGTTGCTGCGGCAAGGACAGTGAGCCCCTCAGAGTCGGCAGCGGGGGCGGCCAGGCGGCCCTCCCGTGAGCGTTGGGCTTGTCGGGATTGCCGCTGCGTGGCACTTGCATCTTTGTTTTGAGCTTGTGGGATTCGTAGCTGCGAGGCCGAGCATGACGGACCACGAGATGGAAGTCCTGTTCAAAAAGTTGGACAGAAATAGCGACCTGGCCAGCATATGTCAACGCCTTGCTCCAAAAGGAACAGATAAATAAATAAATGTACAAATACATAGAGAAAGAAAGAAAGAAAGAAAGAAAGAAAGAAAGAAAGAAAGAAAGAAAGAAAGAAAGAAAGAAAGAAAGAAAGAAAGAAAGAAAGAAAGAAAGAAAGGAAGGAAGGAAGGAAGGAAGGAAGGAAGGAAGGAAGGAAGGAAGGAAGGAAGGAAGGAAGGAAGGAAGGAAGAAAGAAAGAAAGAAAGAAAGAAAGGAGAGAAGCAAACAAACACAAACAAACAAACAAACAAACAAACAAACAAACAAACAAGCAAACCAACAAACAAACAAACAAAACCACCAACCAACCAACCAACAAACAAACAAACAAACAATCAAACAAACAAGCAAAACCACCAACCAACCAACAAACAAACAAACAAACAACCAAACAAGCAAAACCACCAACCAACCAACAAACAAACAAACAACTGTCATTTGGCAATTTGGATCACCTGATTTCTTGCGGTCAGAAATAATGGAAACTTCAGGGAGGTTGCAGTTTGAGGTGACCTCTTGGGAAGCAGCGACGGGCTCTACAGGTGGTACATGTGCCATGGTCAAACGAACCTATGGTAGGGATGGTCATGGACCCCTCAATGGGGATGTGAGACCATGACCCACATTGTGACATGAGTTTTATCATGGCACACATGGCTTCATATTGCTCCCAAGACATGGGTGCTGCTCTTTGAGAGCGCCTCAACGGCAAGGCTCTGTGACAATTGGTCAAATGGGGACAGCCCGAAACCAAAGGCCATTGCGCAAAGGAAACGTTTACCCTCCCACCAATTAACATGGAATCTGACGTTTGGGGGGTCCTGGAAGACAAAAATTGTCCTTTTAAAGGGACCCGACACTCAGGCGATGCACGAGTAAGCTTTAACGAGCTCGTCTCGTGGGTGTTCTCGTCTGAGGGCCCAAGCGCGGAAGAGGGTGCAAGCCTTTTCATTCCCCGCCGTGGTAGTGTGCCTTGACAAGTTTGGCCCAGGCCAGGCCAGTGACATTGTCCAGGGGGGTCCACGATTTTTGGAGATCCATTTTCTGAGCACCTGAGTTTGTTGGGTGCATGCCGCGGCCCCTTGTCAGGCGAATTCAGAGCATGACCTTTGAACAGGATTGATTTGAGACAAGCTCCAAGAGCTTGTTGACCTTGCCTGTTGCGCACATTGTCCAGGGGGGTCCACGATTTTTGGAGATCCAACATTTGAGCACCTGAGTTTGTTGGGTGCATGCCGCGGCCCCTTGTCAGGCGAATTCAGAGCATGACCTTTGAACAGGATTCATTTGAGATAAGCTCCAAGAGCTTGTTGACCTTGCCTGTTGCGCACATTGTCCAGGGGGGTCCACGATTTTTGGAGATCCAACATTTGAGCACCTGAGTTTGTTGGGTGCATGCCGCGGCCCCTTGTCAGGCGAATTCAGAGCATGACCTTTGAACAGGATTCATTTGAGATAAGCTCCAAGAGCTTGTTGACCTTGCCTGTTGCGCACATTGTCCAGGGGGGTCCACGATTTTTGGAGATCCAACATTTGAGCACCTGAGTTTGTTGGGTGCATGCCGCGGCCCCTTGTCAGGCGAATTCAGAGCATTACCTTTGAACAGGATTGATTTGAGATAAGCTCCAAGAGCTTGTTGACCTTGCCTGTTGCGCAGAGAGATTGCACAAAAGCACCGTGCCGCATGTAAGCCGATGCGAGCGGTTGGTGTGCTTTTGGCAAAAAGCAGACGCAACGCACGTCACAAGTGTATTACATAGAAATAAGCTAATAGTATGTGTACATACACATACATTGTATATGTGCGTATAAACATATGACGCTGTTGTGCAATCCAATTCTGTGCTCTCCAAGTTGAGATGTAGCATGTAGGATCATGTAGGATACGTTTCACCATGAAACGCGGATCGGCTAGCGAGGCCTCAAAATCTATGCGCAGCAAAAAAGTCTTCTTGGGGCTAAATCCAAGGGAACCCCAGATGGTTCTGCATAATTTATGGCGAGCTCATCGATTCGTGGGTTCGAGCACACCATGGTAAAGGTCCCTTACTTGGGGATCCCTTGGAATTATTGGAACATTTGCAGATGGCTGGTGTCCCTTTGGCTTTCCTTTCTCACTTTCAATCGACCTGGAAAGGGAAACCTCAAAGAGAGACACCAGCATTCAATCAGCCAGGTTTCAGGGGCAGTGTTTGCCCGGACCCGCAACAGTCCGCAATTTGCTCCATGCTTTCCGGCTTCGCATGTGACAGTGCGAGGTGAGCCGGGCTCAAGGTTACAGGCAGAGGATCTTTGACCTGTTGAAGGATATCAAGAGCCCACGCGGCTGGAGCACTGCAAATAAGGATTCAAGCAAAGCACGGAAAGCAAGATTGTGGACATTTTGAGGAGATGAAAAGCGCCCTTTGCGGCAGATTGCCAAACCATTACCAATCCTCGACCTCAATATTCTCCAAGCTGCCGCTAGGCAGAAAGTCGGCTCCGTTGCACAAATCTACTTCGGCAGTCTACAGTTACACATGGCTTGCCAAGAAGTGGAAGATGATGGGGTTCAGCTGGGATGCTGGGTAAGCCCTTGAGGTCTGGCGTCACACGCTCTGAGCCATGGCCGATCCAATGGCCGAGCCGCTGCGTGTGGCGGCTCGCCTGCGACTTTTTAGGCTCCCCTGCTTGCGAGGCCTTGGGTCAAAATTGGAAAAGTCTGGTGGGCGGATTTTCCCTTCAAAGTTGGTGGGACGGGCAAGATGATTGGGCCAAAGCTTTGTGACTGACGGCCTTCAGGATTGTCCGAGCTCTTGGCTCACAGAGGCTCACGCCCATCGAAGGTTGGGTATCCGAGGCCATTCTTGGCCAGAAGGATGCCATGATCTTCTGCCTCTTCCAGCTGGTGCAGGTTCCGCCGAAAGGGGGGGCGCGTGCTCACGCATTTTCAGCGAAGTGTCCTCATCCATTGGTTGCGCTTTGTGCTTTGCTTGAGTCAAGTGGCCTAGTCCCTCTGGGACTGTTGCTGACAGTCTCTGACTTCAGTCTGGTGCCATTCGCGCAGTCGAAGACCATTGCGCGATCCGGCTTCATTCCCTTGCATGTAGCATGGGTAATTGCTAGTTGCAGTTTGCCAAACTCGTGGAGCACGCGCTATTTTTCTCGGTCATTGGTGCAGTGCTTCGCAGGTGAGACGGACTCGCTCTTTGGAGGCGGGGGCATCAGGTGCTCAGCGCGCTCAAAGAGAAGCCCAATGTCTTCAACCCAAAAATCACTCCCCGCAGGTGACGCTTTTCTTGTTGACACGACGGGATTCGTGTTTGTCCCAGAATAACATGGACTCAAACTCGTGACTTGAGCCATGTCTTTACGTAGGATTTGGTGTGGCTGGCCCGCCTCTGACTGTTTTCAATGTTTCGCTGTTTGGAACCGTGCCGAAACATAGCCACTCCTTAGGCCTTTAAACCAACTCTTCAGCATGATTCCTACCAGTGCGGAGAGGCCAAGCCCATTTGAGTCCGCAGTGTTAAATTTAGTGCACCCCTTGGACAGTTTCCACGGAACTCAGTTCGAAGGTCCTTATGGAAAGAATCCAACACTCTGGAGTTCAACTCATTCCTGTCACGACAGGGGTGCCCAAAATGGTGAGTTTATTTTTGGTTTCCCTTTAAACCGACAAGAAGATGGAACCCTCAGCTTCCAAATGGATCAGCGCGGTGTGTTTCTTCTTGGTTTCCCTTTTAACCACCTCCAAGATGGTACCCTCAAAAGAATTGAAACACGCCCCATGGTGCTTCCCTCGGCTGATGCGATCTATTTCGGTTTTGGCAGGTCCTGGTGCTGTCGCCCAAGGAGCAGACCGTGCCGCCCAGCGCAGACGTGGCCGCGGTGTGTAGCACTCTAGGCTGCGAAACGGGGAGCGAAAGGGGAGGGGTGCCGTTTGGTACTGGGGTTGTTTGAAGGGGAAAAAAGAACAAGCATTTGCAAACAACTCCATGTTGGTTCCGTGTCAACCAGCTCAAGGGGTCACTGAACAAACCAGGCCGTCCCCCCAGCCACCTTTTCAGTCACCCCTGATCGGACATCCACCCTTCGTGATTGAGGCCCCAACTGAAAGGTTTTTTTCTATAGCCATACATAGCTAGGTAGCTGACAAATTCAGCAACTGACTGTCGTGCTTGGGAGTGTCCCGCGATAGCAAGCTGGATCCAAACTTCGGCCCGAACCAAAGCCAGCTTGAGCTGGCGAGTCCGGAGTCCTTAGCTGCGGAACAAATAGAGCGAGAAGTCGGCAAACTGCTCCAGCTGCACCGCCTCAAGACTCAGAAAGACTTCTCAGAAAGACTGCTCAGCAGGGGCAAAGCAGCAGCATCTGGACCCGCAATTGCGGGGAAGATGGGTGGGATACCTCGTTCAGCCCTCACGGGTCCCCGAAGGTTCCCAGATAAGCGTCGGGATTCTGCGCAAAGCGCACGAGCGTTCTCCCACCCCAAATTGCGTTTAAGCACCAACCTTAGCCCGCCCCAACACAACCCAACGCCCATCCACCCGAACCAACCTAAACAGAACCTACAAAACCCGTAGAAACCAAGGTGGCCAACCCTCCAGACTCAACATGTATCCAAGTGTTGCGATTCATAGCGACCTAGAAGCAGCGGACGGCGCAACCCGCTGCATGTTCCCTGCAGGCCCAGGTTCTTCATATTTCTTGCCGCTAGTTGGCACACCAGAACTTTGGCCATGCCGACCATACGCTGTGTGCAGGCTACCAACACTGCGTGGCGCGCACCAATGCCATGGTCCTGGAGTCTATTCAGCAGTTCAAGCCCTCCTTGCTGGCGCGGCGCTCAGGCCACGGGCGACCCAGTTTGAAGAGCGGACCTCAGCTGGTGGAAACATGAGCTTTGCATTGCAAAAGCTGCGTGAATTCTTGTTTGACAATTTGGTGGGACCCTGTTTTGATGTGCGATCGACTGAAATGCGATTGATTGTTGGGGTTCGCTGACAACTCAAGTTTGCTTGTCGTTTCAGTATTGAAATCGCTACGCGGTCCGCGAAGCCATTTGTGGTGCGATGACTGTTGCGACTGTCCCATAAGGATCCATGCAAGCCCTCAAGTGCCACAAAGTAGGGCGCCAAAAACTGCTTTTCCCTCCCATATGCTGAGAATGCGGAGGATGCAGCCAGACTGCATACCCCAAAAGTCATGAACTTAAAAAATGCAAAGTATTGGGGATGGCAGGGGGTGCGGGGAATGCTGGGAATGCGGGGGATGCGTGCAAAAACCAAGCGTTTCTCGGTGTTCCCAAAATCAACAATCAACAAGTTCAATTACCCGAAAATATAGACTTCCAAAAGCGCAACAGTGCTGGGCATGTTTCGCCGCGACGCCCCTATACTAATGGGGATTTCGCAGATCGTCACTACACTTGCCCCCGCCAAGACCCCAAACATGCCAAATCCAAATCCAACATCGCTCAAAACAAGAAAGCACTATTCACATCAGCAAAATCAACAACAAAAGTCATGCTGCCAAGAGACGTCAAGACAGCCCTGGAATGCAGACTCCCACCATAGTTGGCCCCCAACCCCCTCCCGGAGACCTATCAAACATGTGCACTTTAGGCGTTCGAAGACCCACAACACAAGACTGGAAAATTACAGGGTTTTGGACACCCGGCAAATGTTGCCCAAAAATGGCCTGCCCGAAAGCCTTCGGCTTTAAAAGAAAATTCCGAAGGAACAGCAAGTTGCGGATTGCCATCTACACGTTCGACTGGCGTCGGCGGATTTGATCATTCGGTTATTTGGTCACTCGACAGACTTAATTGTTTGGAATGCTTTGGCTTTGTGGCGGTCAGATTGGATTCATTGTTTGATTGCCTGGGCGGGTGAGTGGCTGAGCTGGCTGGATGACTGAATGCGGGCTGGAAGGAGTGGCGTGAAGCAATCGAAGGGTGCACGACAGTGTCAGTGGCACGTTTCCTTGGAAGGCAAATGATGTTGAAGCGTACATTCCAACTTATGCTGGTTTGAAACAGATTGGGAGGGGGGGCGGGGGCGGGTCACGAAGCAGCTTTTGTTTTCATGTTCCACGGTGCTGGCGACATTGCGGCCCTTAGCTTGTTGGCTGTGGCAGCACAATGATGCATCATGAAGCCTCTTCCAAAGCGAGGGCGTCAGTTGCACGCGTCTAGCCAAGTAGCGCTTTTCCGCCGTCCTAGGCACTCCCCGCCGAACAGGTTTACAATGACCCGGTAAACTGTCGCATAAGTGTGGATACAGCTCGAATATATCATATCGAGCTAATTGGAAGTGCCACACGGAGTTTTGATTGCCGCGGATGGCAAGCCGCTGAGCGCTCCAAGGCAGGGAGGAGTACCCCTTTTCCAGTGTTCGCTCGCCCGATGCCCTCGCCATTGCCCCACTTTGTGCGGCGTGTTTCAAACGGACCCCAGAGGGGTGACTTGCCCTGCTCGCCCTGCTATCCGCCGCGAGAGAGCGAGAGAGAGGGAGAGGGGGGCACTTCGGAAGCTGAGCATGAGGTTCGATTCCAGCTTGTTGGTGATTCGCGATGGCCAACTGACCTGGACGTTGCCTTGGGCAGCCATCCAGTGCCGTTTCTCCTGCAGGTCGTAGCAACATGGATGGCAGGGTGGATGAACTTGCCATATTAGCTGTCCATGTGCTCCATCGAAAGCACAAATTGATATTCGGCATTTCCAGGCGTTGCCGCTCAAAAAGGAGCCGGAACCTCTAACAACCATGTTTTCAGATGCCTAATCATCTCCAGAACCCTCATATTTTTAGCCTTCATAAACTTTCCTCACTGTTTGGAGCCTTCGTTCCTTCTCCAGGTCTTGTAGGGCTTTCAGAGCAACAGCAGGTTAATTATCGTCGTTGGGGCGCGTGAATCATATGCAAGTATGGACTGCAACAACTTGTACTTTGCCGTAACGTAACATTCCCGTTCGATGCGGGCTACATGTAGTTGGCACATATCCTGTTCTCGTTTCTCATTTCTCCTTCTGCTTGCAGGCACCTATAGCCATGTCAAGAGTGTGTAATGACGTCAATTCCCTTTTCATTGCAATTGCAAGTGATCGTCAAGCAACCACTCCCTCTGAAAGATGAGAGTCAATTGCGACAGAGTCCTTTGTTCCCTACTCCAAATTGTGGTTCTTGTTTTGAGGGCAGCCTTTTCACTTTGGTGTGTGTCGGACACCTGTTCTATTTCCGGAGTACTCGAATTTGGCACAGAGGCAGGGATGTCTTCTGCGCCACGTGTGTCCACTTCCGGCAGGACCTGGGGTCCTGCTGGCTTGGGCGATGAACGTGGGGCGGCTGTCCGGCGGCTTCCCCGGGCGCTCGGTGCTCTTCGACATTTTGAAGCGCTGGACGTCCAATGCGCTGCACAGAGACGTGCAGGACGGGACTACATGGGGTGGACTACACGGATGGGTTTTTACCCCCCCCCCCCCTTCCGGGCGCTCCGCCCCCCTCCCCTTTTTTAAAGGCCCCTGATCTTGGGGCAAACCCTTGCAAAGAGGTTCGGAAGGTTTGGGAAGTTTGGAGCGTTGGATTGGTTTTGGGTTGGGCGCCGGATCCGTCCACGAGTCGGGCTCGCCGGGTCGGGATTTAGGGTTCTCATTGTTCCATTGCTGGTTGTCTGTTTTTGGACAAGCTCGGATGTCGGTTGTGGGGGTTGAATTGTTTCTAAACGTTTTTGTTGGAACCGAGCTTTGTCTAAGCACTGCTTCCTCGATATAGTCAGAATGTGCTGACTCCCTCCGCCAAATTGGGTAAGCCGCAAGCGTCAACAAATCTTGACAAGCCGAGTGACCCCCTGCCAAACAAGATGTTGCCAATCAGGAAGGATCCCGAGCTGTTGTGCCGAAAGTTGCTGGACCGGCTCCAAAAGTGGCCTACATTTCGCTTCAAGGGTTTCCTTTGCCCGCTGGTTTTTGGTGGGCTGCTAGAGCATGAGCTTTTGGCTGGCACTTGCGTCTTGCTCTTTCAGCCAAGAAAGCCATGGCAAACTGAGATTGTGGCCAGGTACAAGCATCTAACTCCACTGACCTGTGATCAAAAGGATCATGGAGCAGTGCTCTTTTTTGTCCGGCCACTTTGCTTTTGTTGGACGTCAGGACACCACCCCGATGGGCTGCCCCTGGCAGAGCCTCCAGGCTGCCATGCGCCACAGCGGCCGGGAGGTGGGCGAACGACATTGGACAAACGATCGCCTAGTTGTAGTCAGGATGCAATGAAGCAGATTTCCCGATCGTTGTTTAACTGTTGTTTTTGGGTGGTTGTCGAAGTTTGAATCATTCACTCTGTATTCACACTTCACGCCTCCATGTTAATTTGGACAGCTTTGGGGGGCGTTCCAACTTTGAGCCATGGCCAACCTTTCCTACACGGCAGCGTTTTGCAGAAGTTCTTGTTGGAGTCGCTAAACGGCAACGGACAAGTCATTCAAAAGGAAGCAGTGGGGCAAGAGACGGGTTCGCAACACACTCCCTTCGCATTTGTTTGGAAGTCAAATCAGATCCCATCGTCTTAGGAAAGATTCACAATTGTGTGGGAGACGTCTGCAATCATCGATTCGTGCAAAAGTCTGAGACTATTCGCCACATTGCGTAGGATTGGCACCAGCCAACTCGTACAACTTGCAGCATGTGCACAAAGCCTTGAATGCAATTGCCCAGCTGTCCAAAGCGGATTGACCTGACAAAGCGGCGAGAAGGTGAAACTGACACAGTGCGTTGGGCAAGTGAGATCGTCCAACAGAGCGAACGCAATGGGTATTGACAGCTGGCCGATGATTGACCTTTTCTGTGAGCTTCCATGGCGCCAGGTGACGGAAAAGCAAATGCGGGGTGCACTGGTCGCAGCCTACCGGGCGATGGAGGAGTGGCAGAAGGCGGGTGGGGGTCGTTTTGTAGAGGGACGCCCATTTTAAAATTGTTTTAGAGCCTGTACTTGGAGACAAATTAATGATTTGGGTGACAATCATTGATTCAACTGGTTGCAGTTTGGTTCTGATAGTTTTACAAGTACCATCCATGTGTTCAAAAGCACGCCTAGGTTCCTCTCTATTTTGTTATAGTTCGTATTTGGTGCATGTGCAATATCGAGGCAAAGCCGCGCGTAAGCCCCACAGATGCCACGGAATACACAGTCCGGGCTTTGATCATTGGGCACGTGACCGGTAGCATGATTGCCCTTGTGAAAACATGTGAAGGCCTGCCAATTCGGAAGAATACATGTACATTCTCTTCACAGAAGCAAATTGCTTAAATGAGTGTGTGTGTAGGTGTTGGTACATGTCAATGTGAGAATGTCGCGAAGCGGGGATGTGTGTGTGTGTGTGCGCTGTGTAAGTGTAAGTGTAAGTGCAAGTGTGTAATAAGAGCGTGCAAGAGTGTGTGTGTGTGTGTGTGTCTTTGTGTGTCTCTGTGTGTTTGTGTGTTTGTGTGTCTGTGTGTCTGTGTGTTTGTGTGTCTGTGTGTCTGCGTGTCTGTGTGTCTGTGTGTCTGTGTGTCTGTAGTAGTAGCAGTAGTAGCAGTGTTTAGTAGTAGTAGTTGTTGTTGTTGTTGTTGTTGTTGTTGTTGTTGTTGTTGTTGTTGTTGTTGTTGTTGTTGTTGTTGTTGTTGTTGTTGTTGTTGTTGCTGTTGCTGTTGCTGTTGCTGTTGCTGTTGCTGTTGCTGTTGCTGTTGCTGTTGCTGTTGCTGTTGCTGTTGCTGTTGCTGTTTGTTGTTGCTGTTGCTGTTGCTGTTGCTGTTGCTGTTGCTGTTGCTGTTGCTGTTGCTGTTGCTGTTGCTGTTGCTGTTGCTGT